CGTTACTTTAATAAGACTTCAGTATAACGAGATGATCTACAAAAATTAGCCAATCACAATATATGTTCGCTATGCTCCTATCGGCTCCAAAGCTTTGAACCGAGCCGTTTTAGAGCCGATGCTTTATTAGTAGGCCTGGAACTGAGTCGTTAACCAGCTCAGCTCGAGCCGTTCGCATCAATACAAAGAAATATATACAATTCGGATTCAAAATTAAAATCAGGGAAATTTTCGAAATGCGCTGCTTATTTGTTAATTCCCCATATAAATCATTTATCTGATATTTTATTACTTTTTTACAATGGGCAGTACTGTATGCAAAAATTTATAATTATCCTTTCGATTCAATTATTAAGTTTCAACAACTAAATCACTTTTATATATACAGTATATATATAAAGTTATAAAAAAAGCATATACAGTATCCTAATAAATCGTTATTAGCATATACCCTTCTACCAAGCAAATATACACCTCTTGGCTAATATCTTTTAGTTATGTAACTGATAGGTCCATTCGTTAATACCAAAATAAACTAAACAATTATTAAAAGTTTTGATATTTAAAAGTATATTGTATTCTGTATTAATATCAATAGAAACTGATTTCAAAAGGTATAGACAGGTGCAAACTATTATATTATAGGAAATCTACACGATCCTGATTTCCCCAATTTCCCTCTGACTTCCCTTATTCGTGGAATCAAGAAATCAGATAATCACGTGGTGTTCCCATGATATATTAGTTTGCCCTGCTTACACCTTTTTGAAAATTGCTATAAATTCATTCATATATATCAGTTTTAGCGCAACTATGTCGCGAAGTTATCTAATTGCTGATTGCTACTTTGTGTGATACCAATATAACGCAAATCACAATTATCAATACACTTTGTTTCACTACATTACTGGTATTGGAACCACAATATTCTTCTAACTTCAGCCACGATGAATTAGCTACATACTGCTGTTATTACTTCTTGTCATAGTTTATTAATAAACATGATGTAGAAACTGTGAAATAGTGACTACAGCTTTATTCCAGGAATCGATATTCTAAAATAGCATACTTAATTCCACGCATTTCATATAATACCAACTGATTTATAAAATCAACCTTAAAAATTACCCTTTATCCTGAATGCATACTCAAATAATGTGCCGGTGAGCGAAGTTGTATTATTTCGAGTCTTATAGTAGATAATAAAAATGTATAGTTAAAAGAGTATTAATATAAAAATATAGAGATGCCAGAATTGCTTTATTCTAACCTTGTACTAATAATAAAAAAGATAGTGCATAAAAAAAAAACATGAAACTATAAATTTAAACATGATAATTATAAAAACTATCATTAAAATATATATATATAATATATAATAGAAGAACCTAACTATAAAAACTATCATTAAAAAATATATATATTTAATATATAATAGAAGAACCTAACTATAAAATTAAAGAACATCACAGTAATAGTAATAATAAAATCTGCTACAGGAAAAAAGATTATTAAACAAAATAATTTATATACTTGCTAACCAATATAACTTAAGTTTTCCGACAGTCATTTCCCTGAAAACATTATCACGATGAAGTTATCTATAATGATGGCTAATATCTTCAGTTTGTTTTTTCAAAGAATGAATTCAAGAAAGTTGTTTCGTAACCTTTGCTAACATTTCTTTTAGATCTTCAACTGTCTTTTTAATGCTTTGGATTTTTTCAGTTTCTGATTCTTGTCCTTCATCTTTAATAACCTTCATAATTCTAGTGGTAATAGGCTTTGTAGATTCTTCCCAGTCATCGGAATTAATATAACCAATAAACTTACGAAGTTCACTAATGTGAACTGAATAATAACTTTTACAATAAATCGTTAATTAGTAAATCTAAATATAATAAATTTTTATAAATTATTTTTTTTATTACTGCACTTTTTTGAATTACTATGATCATCAGACGATTCACCTATTAGTAAAATTTCTAGCTTTTTATTATCTATACTTTCATAATCTTTGAACGAAAATTTATATAATTCTGCTTCATTTTTGATATTTAGGCCATTTCGAATTCTATAAATAGAAATTTGAAATATTGAAGCTGACCTGGCCATTATTGAGATATTTTCGCTCAAAGAACATAGCTGATATTAAAATTTCGTAATCAATAGTAAGATTGAATATGTATAAGATCCAATACAAATTTCTATGCGTGTAGATATATGAGTGCTGAAAGGAAAACTTGACATCGGACTTTCAATTACACGTACTGTGTACCGGGCATATTTTCTAATAATTAAATAGATTGTGTCCGGTACAAAGTATAATTGAAACCCAATAACAGGTTTTCTCGTGAAAATTGCCAATCACAGTAATTTGAAAAGTGCAGCAGCAATCACTTACAAAGTATATGGAAACCAATTATAATTTCGTTTTTGAGAAGATGTTAAATAAAACAATTCGATTTCTTCAAGAATCTAATCAAAAATTTATAAAGTCTTAGTATTTGAATTTTTTAATTTTAAACAACAAGAAAATATACCTCTTTTTTTAGCAGTAAATAAGCAAGATGATTATCTCTATTATCGCCCAATAAATTACCAAGAATTCCGATAAATAAATTCATCAGGTATGTTATTATAAAAAATGAAAAAAACATCATTAAAACCATTATAATGATATCTTCACTTGAGACCCATGATGAAACAGGAGTTGAATCCCCTAATAAATGAATAATAAATAATTATATTAAAGAATTTATAAATCTTTAAATATTGATAAACGTTATAAATTACCAGTAATCATCATATAATAAGATGCAAGAATTGCAGAACCGAATTGCATAAACATATTTAAGCCTGAATCTAAAAATAATATAATAAAATTTTATTCATATTATATTATTAAAATTTATAATAAAAAAATTAAATAGAGTTATTTAATCAAATAAATACCTTGAGTTATCTCAGTTCGTAACAAGAGATGTAATGAATGCGCAAATGCAAGTATAATAAGCCCAAATAATATCAAAAAAGCCAAAACTTTGTCAGCAGTATTCATAATCATAGCAAGATAAATTCCAAAATATCTTATAAATCGAAGATATATAATAAATTTTAATTCAAGGAGTAAAGTTGTAAATGTAATAGCTCCAGTTGAAACAGAACCATTTCTTAGCCAAATAATAGAAGTTACTATAGCAGATATTATAGCGCTAAGATCTATTAAATTAAAGCAAATAAATGTTAATAGATATTATATATTGATTGATTATTTTAATAAAATTTTACCTAAATAATTCCATATACTTGAAAAATATTCTTTATATGAAAAAGTAATATTACGAATTTCAACTAATAAATGCCAGAAACCAAGAATAGTAGTGATAGTTAGAAGCATCTGTTGATAATGCCAAGAAATATTATCTGATAAAGTGGCAATAGTAATAAAACTACCAGAAAAAACTATATATATCATCCAAATTGCTAAATAATATCTTAATCCAAAAGTATTCCATTTAAAATTAATAAGTGCTTCACCATTCCATGTGTTGTAAAAAGTTAAATCATCAATATTTACAAAATGACAAGATTTTGGTTTAAATAATTTTAGTAAAAGATTTTCATCTTCTTCATCTTTTTTATAATAGGTAACAAAATTTGGAAAAGGAAACATTAAAAATAATTGTGGGTGGGTTTTGCAAGGGAAAAATTTGGAAACAATATGTTTATGTAAAAAATTTGCAATTTTTGTATATAAATAAGAGATAATCTTTTTATATAAAAAAGAGTTATAAATAGTATCAACTAAAGAATCCAAATATGTTAATTCAGATAAACTACTATAATATTGATAATGAGAAAGATGGTTTAAAACTTGATTCTTTTTTTCTACATGAAGAACACAATAAAGTGAGATTTGCGTAACAAAATCTTCAAAAAATGATTGATTGTTTTTAAATATTTCAGTGATTGATTGAGAAAATATTTTAAATATCTGCGTATTTATAATTTCATTATCCTTCTCAATTTGATTAATGCACCCTTTAAACAACTTTCGTAGCAGTTCGTCATCATCATCTTTAATAATATCTTCTATAAGTTTTTTTCCATAAAGCATTAGAAAGAATTTATTATTAATGTGATTTTCTATTAATTCATTAAAAAAAAACCTATCTTTATCACCATTACTATTTTTATTATGTAGTTGTGATGGTTGTGAAAAAACAGAACTATAACGTATTATACCAATATATGACGATGGTGGGAAGAAATATCTTTTCTTAATTTTTTTCTCATCATTAAAAAGATTGATTACGTTTTCTTTATCCCAATCCCAAACACCCTCATCATTCCAACAATATTTCAACTCTATTTTATTATCTTTTGCATTAAATGTCCAAATTTCTACACCCAAAAATGTAATCATGACTAAATCACCGCTATTAAGACAGTCACATTCATTTATAAATCCTTTATTATCCATACCAGAATTAATATATATTTCTGGAACAATCTGTATACTAGTTTTATCGTTTTTAAATTTTGCCGTAAGAAAAATATATTTATTATTATTTTCATACTTTAGAGTCCAAGTTATAAAATATTTTGAATATGTCTTTTCAACTTCAACAGTTGTTTCAATATCCTTAGCTGCACGTCTAATTAAATCTATGATTTTTTCACTATCTGATGATATGAAAATACTGTTGGAATCTTTCAATGTTTCTCTTAAATAGAAGATCCAATTATCAGGTATTAATTTTTTAATTACTAAATCATTTTTAATAAAACCTACAACTTTATCAGATTTTACAATATATTTATATTCAAAATTTTTATCACGCTCTGCTTCAAAATCCTTGAATAGATGATCAGCATTTATATAACTTTCATCTGGAATATATGGAGCGAATGGATCACATATAGAATAATGATATTTGTTGCTTTCCTCATTTTTCCTATGGTAAACTATAAGAAGTCGTGCTCCAATATCAGAAGCAATCAGATAGACTGTATCGATAATACATGATTTATCATGGGTATCTTATAATAATAATAATTAATTAAATTAATAATTTAATTATAAATCATAACATTTATTTTTTCTAAAAACTTACATGTTGTAAACTTATTTCCATGATCAGCAGAATAGATACTTATACATGGATAAGGATCTTTATGTAAATTACCCGTACGTTTTGTCCCATATACAAAGAATAATATTTCATTATCACTCATTTTCATATTATCAACATTAAAACTATTATCAAATAAAAAGTATGCTTCAAATTTTAAGGTTTTAATATCCCATTTAGTAATACTTCCTAAATTTTCATCATATATAAACAGTTTTCCATTAGATAAGAACGTTTTTTCGTTATATGATTCCATTTTTATCGTTGATTTATGAATAAATTTATTTTTTTCATGAGTGAAGATATATATCCTACACAATGGATATTTACTGATCATAATTAAATAATTTTCGTCTAAAAAAGCTAGGGACTCAACCATAATTTCAGAATGCGGAAGGCTTAAAGAAAGGTATTCTTCGGTTTTAAAATTGAAAATTCCTTAAACCAGATATATTAACAGACAAAGTTAATATTTAAGATTAATAATCACAATATATATATATCAACTATTAACAAATAACTATATATTATTGTAATAAATTTACCGTCCAACATAAAACGCAAACTTACCTATTTGAACTCTTGAACCATATTTTTTTGCAGTCTTTAAATCACATTTATCTTCAATTTTTGAAACAGCTTCACTTTTAGCTTTCTCAATTTCAACTTGCTCAGTTTCACTTCTCTCAACTTCAATTCTCTTAATTGGCATCGCAACAAACTTATCATCAGAAACAGTAAAATAATTTTTAATGTCACCATAAGTTTCACTGTCACTAGAAGGTTCAATGTCACTATTCGAATAAACTTTATATTTATTACGATCTTTATACTTTTCTAATAAAATTGTATGTTCAGGCTTCAATTGCTGTTGATTAAACTGTTGATTATCAAAATTATCAGGAATACTCCAAAAAACTGCCGATTTATTCATGTCACTCCATGTCGCAATATATTTCAAATTGGGTGAACACACTATCATTGTTACTTGCTCTCTATTGTGCGTATAAGGATCTTCAATTGAGATAGAAGTAGATGCCATTTTACAATTATAATTTCATTAATGAAAAAAGAGTTAATTTAGACTCTGGATTTTAAAATACATAATAATCCTCACTTAGTAAGCTAATTGTTTTTTGTATAATTTACGTTTGTTTGGTTGGCTTTTAAAAGCCATAGACAAACATCTGTAAACACTAGTCCCTAACCCATATTGTAATATGTGCTGCGCTGCTTTGTTTTCTCACAATTAGATTGTCCAGACTTATATGATTTCGGGATTTTTCATTGTTCAAACAATGAAAAATCCCTGAAATCGCATAAGTTTGGACACTCTACTCACAATAATCCATTTTAAAAATTTCTACTCATAATAATTTCTGGTTATTGTTACGGGGTAAAAATGACATTCCGAAGAAAACTGTACAACAAACAAACCTCCAAACAATACTCTAAGGCTTGGATAGCATATGGGGCTTGTTCGGGCCGAGGGTTATTGAGAAGAATAGGCCATCCAAAATAAAGGTGAGTCATGTTAAGCCTCTCTAGTCCTTTGAAAATCATTTAAAGGACGTAACGACACTTATACCCTGTCACTATATCAAGATCGCAGGGCATAAATCAGTTTTATACCCTGGTCACTATATCAAGATCGCAGGGCATAAATCA